GTGCAATAATATGATCTAATATTGATGTTGATATTCAGCATTTCCATGAGAATTAAAATTACTCAAAATCTTTTTCTCCGAAGGAAATGCTGGCCAAAGGTACATTGTGGACAAAGGAGATGGAGATGCGTCTTACAGATAATGACATTGTCTTGCTTGATGGAGAAACTCAGGTACTAAACATGTATAAATCCAGGGGTTTCATTAAAAGCTGACAGCCACCAACATCCTACACACAAGATAAAGAATAGTGACCTTCATTTTGCTATTTGCTCAATGTATAATTTATTTGTTTACAAGGATCCTACACACGATTAAATAATGACCTTCATTTTGTTATTTACTCAATGCATTTATAACAATTGTGTTTGTTTACCAGGATGTTATTGAAGTGTATCCGCTGTCCAGCATCAGTGTTGTGCAGCATATCAATGAAGATTCTGATTTGAATAGCGTTTTGCTGTTTACCACACAACAAACTGATGAAAAATATGCAGCAACACATCTCTTCCAGTCTGACAGAGTTCCAGTAAGTAGCACAATAATAATAATGTACCAGTCTACAGTCTTTTCAAAAATAAACAGAACACCCTACTCCCTTTCCCCACTGCAAGGTTGCACACACGTTTCTCTCCTCATCCTTGTCGATTATAGCAATTCATTGACAAACAGCATTGTAAAAGGGGAGGGGAGGTTGTAATATTGCAATCATAGATTGTATTTCAGTGTCTAGTGGAAAGGAAGATGTTTATAGACCTTTCTCATACTCATTAATTATTCATGAGGTATCTAGCCAATCCCTGATTGTAATTTGTACCACGTGCAGTAACTGGATACCAGAGGAAGTACTCCTGCCTTGTATTCTATCTTATTTCCAGTTACTTCCACCTTGTTTCTACAACAGTTTTTACAACAACAGTTTTATTTATGAATCATCCTTATAGTTACATGTGAAGTTTACCCTCGCAGTTAGTCCAAGACTATTCGAGGCGAGGGCGATAATGAAGGAGAAAAACTAGTATAAAAATGTCAAAAATCAGTCACAGTTTGAGTACGTATATTAGGTTTCTAGTTACTTCTATCTTATTTCCAGTTACTCTTACCTTGATTCTAGTTACGTCTAGCTTTTTCTAACTACTACTAGCTAATGATAATCAAAGTATTAGAAATAATCAACTTAATATAGAATTAATTTAGTGAAAAAAGGTCTTTGATAAATGACTCCCTCACGAAACGATCCCAAACCGTCCAATCTATATGCTAACGCCTTGGACTAGAACTAATTGCGCGGACTTGAAACCCCGTCCAATCCTCATTGTCGGACTTTAAACATTACATCCAACACTTGCTTGGATGTACATAAAACAATGGCTTCAGCTTGAGGCTGGAGTGTTCGACAAAAGATAAAACTCCAGGCTTGACTTGAAGCCATTGTTTGGTGTTCATCCGAGCGAGTGTGGGACAGGTCTAACCTCTAAAACCATGTTTCATGGTACAGAAGTTTATATATACAGTTTTGTTATGCTTTGCAATGTTTTGTAATGTACAATTATACATATTTTTAATAATTTTTTTCCCTTTAAATAGGCCGCAGTTGTTGCCACAGAGATAATGAAAGCGTCAAGTAGCAAAGGGGTATGTACATTAGCAAGTAATGTGATGCATAAGTTGATTGTTTACATGAAATCTGTATACCTGAGCTGCATGTTTTGTCTAAACTAATTTTGTTGTTATATTTTTTTTTGACAGGCTATGCCTTCCAGGTCCACGCCCAACAAGGGAGGGGCATCTTTACCCCCACCTCCAGCTTACACTGCACCTCAACCACCTACACTGGTAATGATTGTACTATCATGATAACGACAGGCAAACTAATTTTGTTGTTATATTTTTTTTTGACAGGCTATGCCTTCCAGGTCCACGCCCAACAAGGGAGGGGCATCTTTACCCCCACCTCCAGCTTACACTGCACCTCAACCACCTACACTGGTAATGATTGTAC